AGCAGCAGCTTGGAGAGGGGACACAATTTGCCTCAGGCTGCACCGCACTGAAATCGGGGCCTGTGTGGTGCAGAGTCCAGGCCTCACCACTGTGCATTGCTGCCTCTGGGGACCAGCCGAAAACGAAGGGCACACGGCATCCCAGGTATGCCGCTGAGCCGGATCTGAGCAGGGTCCTGAATGGATGTTTCGTAATCCTGCAAGCTCTTTCTTACCCTTCCTAAGGGGTCTTGTGAGCAGAGGAGGTTTCCAAAATATTTTAAACCGGCACGGCCAGTGGAAGGGTGTGAGGTAGGCGTGAGCTCGTTTGCAGAGGAGAAACGGATTGAATGCAGAGCAGCTGAGCGGGCCAGGTCCCACTTTGCAGCCCTTGCCTGTTTTCCCTCCACAGGGACCACCCCAGGCAGGGTGGGGTCTCTGCCAGGTTGGACCTGCCTCCCACCCCGCCATGGGGCTTCCATAACCAAGTTCAGCAGCCTGGTGCCTTGGCAGCCTGGGAGGCACCCTGGGATGGGGAATCCGGCAGCCACCCAGAGATTATAAACAATTACCGCTAATTACCAGGTCTGCGGGTTACCCATTGTCTCCCACAATCCCACCAGGAAGCAGGGAGAGACAGCGTCATCGTTGTTGGAGGAAACTTTCAATTTCAGGCTGCAGAGGCCTTGGCAGGCCTGGGAACCTCCAAGACACTACTATTTTTCAAGTTCCTGGAGCCCAGCCCCAGTAGGTAGCAGGTAGCCGGTAGCCAGGGCTGTGGGGAGGAGATGAGAAGTGTGCAGTGTGGAGGACCGGCTCTCATCACCAGCAGGGAGGGAGCTTTGGCCTGCGTCGCCTTGATGCTGTTAATGAAACATCTTGGCAACAAATCAGAAGGAACCTTTTGGCGTTTGCAGGAACAGTGGGCACACATCTCAGGCCCAGATATGTATGTCCCTTTGCCTGTGGTGTTCACAGTTGGCGATTTGGGAGCCACGGCTCAGATCGTGGTTCTGAAGCCCAGCTACTTGGGCTCAGAACGGCCCTGCCGCTCTCCGGGGAGACTGGTTCGGACACTCGCCTGAGTTCCTCCCAGTGAGCCCAATGCAGGGCAGTCATGGGTGGGCTCCTTTGGGGCCACAAACCCTCAGGATGCTGTGCTCAGAGCTGGAGCACAGGCCCTAGGCTAGCAGGGGTGGGAGGAGTTAAGAGTGGCAGCCTCACTCGAATTCGACCTTGCAAGCCTGGCTAGACCAGAGGAGGTACACTGGTACAGATAGGAACTGAAAATACAGGGAATCCAGGGCGGATGAGCCCTACAGGACCAGTGGTGTGAGTGGCAAAACAGGGAGGGTAAAGGGAGAATGGGTAGGAAAGAGGGAACCGATTACATGGAACTGTGTGTGACCTCCTCCCTGGGGGACAGACAACTGAAAAGTGGGTGAAGGGAGACGTCGGACAGGGCAAGATATGACAAAATACCCATTTATAAATTATCAAGGGCTCATGAGGGAGGAGGGAGCGGGGAGGGAGGGGAAAAATGAGGACCTAATGTCAGGGGTTTGAGTGGAGAGAAAATGTTTTGAGAAACGATGTACAAATGCGCTTTACACAATTGTGTGTATGGATTGGGATGACAGTTATATGAGCCCCTAATAAAATGCTAAAAAAAGAAATAAGACATTTGAAAAAAAAAAAGAATAAAACATCAAAAAAAAAAAAAAGAGTGGCAGCCTCTACAGGTACCAGGGGATGGGTACCAGGAGCACTTGCTTCAGTGGGTAGAAAGTGCCAAGGAGGAGGGTGGAGCCATCTGTTGTTCCTTGTAGGCTTGGGCAGGGTGCTTAACCTCGGAGCTGGGTCCATTACCTAGCGCTGCTCCAGCGGGCACACACAAGTAGAGGGCTTGGACTAACACGTTTCTTCACTCACCGCTGAGAAGGTGGGAAGTCCGAATTCAGGATGCAGGCTCTAGGGAAGGCTTTCTCTGTGTTGGCTCTTGAGGAAATCCCTTCCCTGCGAGGAGGCACCTGCCTTCCCCAATTTGTGCTTGAGGAGCCCTGGTTGTGTAGTGGGTCACACACCGGGCTGCAGCTAACCACAAGGTCTGTGTTCTAAACCACCAGCGGCTCAGCGGGAGAAAGGCGGGGCTTTCTAATCCCCCAAAGTGTTACCGTCTCGGAAACTCTGTCCGTTTTACCCTGCCCTACAGGGACACTACGAGTCCATGCGGTGATTTTAAAATTAATAATAATTATTAATGCTTGCTTCACCTTCTATACCAATCCTGCCCCACTATTGTAACAAAGACCCATTTGCAATGAGATTGTTACCACAGGTGTAGGCATTTGGATTTATAAATGAGGATTTGCAGCATGTACTTGTGGAGGGGAAGGAGACATGGTGGGGGGGGGCGCTTGTGCACTGGGCTGCATACCGCAAGGTCAGCAGTTTGAAACCACCAGCCCCACCTTGGAAGAGACATGGGGCTTTCTACTTCCCCCAAAGAGTTAGCGCCTTGGAAACCCATAGGGGAACCTGCCTTATAGGGTCAACCTGAGTTGGGATCGACTCGATGGCAGTGCGTTTGGTAAGGGTGGGGGAGGGGTGGCACATGCCAACCCATAGCCATCAAACTGCCCAACTCGCTGCCACCGAGGCAGTGCCAACTCAGAGGGACCCTTTCGGATAGGGCAGAACCGTCCTGTGGGTTTGTTTCTGAGGCTGCAGATCTGAATGGGAGCAGCCAGTCCCATCCTCCCCTCCTGGAGTGACTGGTGGGATTCACAGCTCAGCGAGTAGCCCACAACATTCCAGGACTCCTTCCATCATAACCGGGAGGGAGGGTAGTGTCAGCCACCTCAGGTGGTTGTGAGGACCGGGGAGCGTACCTGTCTGGACTGCTCCCTGGCTCCCCCCACGTTCCAAAAACACAACAAACTCACTGCCGTTGAGTCGATGCTGACACCTAGTGAGTGGCCCTATAGGACAGGGCCTACAGAGCTGCCCCTGTGAGTTTCCGGGACGGTAACTGTTGACGGGAGTGGGAAGCCCCGTCTTTCCCCTATGGAGCAGCCGGTGGTTTCAAACTGCTGACCTTGTAACCACGATGCCATGTAACCACAATGCCGCTGCTTGAATAGCAAGTCCTCGTTCTCTCTCTCTCTCTCTCTCTCTCTCTCTCTTGCTTATCCCACTACCTCTTATGTTTCCTGTTTCCATTCCCCATCTCTTAACCCCGTGAACATGCTGCCCCTTGGCTCTGCAGTGGTTGATTATTCTAACACAGGGGTGAGTTCAGTTTGAGAGTGGAGGGTGACTAAGGGCCATCGTCTTGGGGGTCCTGCCAGTCTCCATCTGATGGGTAAGCCTGGCTTTTGTAGGCAGGTCTTTAGGAACACATTTACCGAGAACAAGGGAAGCGCTTTCTACAGAGGGTCTCCGAGAGCCTTCCCCAGCGGCTTCCTGGGAATCACGCACCATCTTGGCCTCTGGGCTAAGCTCAAGTGCACACAATCTTCAATTGGCAGTAGGCCGGGGTGGCGTCTGATGCCCGAGGGGGCGCTTCAGAAATCCATGGGAAAATTCCATGATGTTTTAAGTCCAGTCTGCCATGAACTTTTTGAAGCCCCCTGTATGTTGGAGTAGCACTGTAGTCAGGGGCGTTTTGATTGCGTAATTTGGGTGGAAACAGCCACAGCGAGGCCCACTCCCGTCAGCCCGGTGTCAGATCACAGTGCTCTGTGACATGGGCGACATCTCTGTGCTGTGTCACCGTTCTCATGGTCTCCCTCTGTTCTCTCATTTCCATGGACTTACTCTCCCTGCCCCCGAACTTCTCATCCATGGTTTAAAATAGCTGTGGACTCTCTGGCCGTTCATGTGGGTGGGGGTCTCCAGTCCACTCCTCATAGTGACCCTGAAGGGCAGAGTAGAACAGTCCCATGTGTGTTCCAAGGCTGTCACCTCTAGGGGAGCAGAGCCCTCGTCTTTCTTGCACCGAGTGGCTGGTGGATTCACACCACCTATCTTTAGCTAAACACTTAACCAATGCGTACCAGGACACCTTTGGGCTTATCTGGAGGTGTTGTTTCTTTTTGTTTTTTTTACACCCACAACACTCAAGGGTAACCATCTGTATTCTTTGGGCTAAATTGCTTAATTGAAAGGTGACTTTGAGGGGCAGTTTCAGTTCAAGGTTTGAGGAGCAGCTCACGGGCCATGGGTTTTCAGAGGTGAATGTTTTTGAAAGTAGACCAGCAGGCCTTTCTCCCAAGGTGCCCTTGGGTACCACGGAACCTCCCACTTTTCAGTTTGCAGCCAGGAGCCCTGCATTATGATGGACATGCGTGCAATTACAATGACATGCAAATGAGATAACACTTGGTCTTGCTCTTGACGTGTTGCTAGGGAGGTGTTGTCAAATCTGTCCCCACTCCCAGCCATCCTGTGTGTAACGGAACGGAACACCGCCCGATCCTGAGCCAGCTTCTCAATTGGTGCCATGTTTGAGCCTCGCTGTAGCCACTGAGTCAGTCTGTAGTGGCCAAGGGCCTTTCTCTTCACTGACTCTCCACTTTACCATGCAAGCTGTCCCCTTTCCCAGGGGCCGCCCTCTCCCGAGAACATGTCCCAGGTGCATGAGATGAGGCCGCACTAGCTTCACTTCTAAGGAGAATCCTGGCTCTACTACTTTGGACTCTGCACTGACCCCAAACCCACTGCAATAGTCAGTTCTGACTCACAGGGGATGTCCTGTAGGGCTTCTGAGACTGGTGAGGACTCTGAGCGACTGTCCTATCCATCGTGTGGGATCGAAGGCTTATTGAGGGCAGCACAAAAGTGAAGCCTCCGAGTTTGGGGGTGGGAGCTGAGATTTTAGGGTGCTTAGGACCAGGGGGCGTTCAGACAGCAGTCCCCTGGGCCTCAGTGGTTGCTGTGGACTGGAATCCCACCCAGCAGGGCTTTTCTGGAGCCCCACGCCCCCAGGAACATGAGCTTTATCTCCTCGTTTCTTACAGCCTCAACTATGGGGGAGTCTGCCTGGCATCGGACGCCCAGTTCAGTGACTTCCTGGGCAGCATGGGGCCAGCACAGTTTGTGGGCCGTCAGACCCTGGCTACCACGCCAATGGGTGAGTGTCGAAAGGCCTATTCCCAACCAGGGGGCCTGGCCTACACCTGCCAAGTCCCCCACAGGCTCCAGATGCTTCCGGTTTTGTTTGGGGCCAGGAACAGGGGAAGAGGGTTCCTTCTCCAAGCAGAAGAGGGGCCGAGACCTCCCTGAGCAGCTAGGTCACTTCCCAGTCTCACCTCTTATAGGGGATGTGGAGATCGGCCTGCAGGAACGGAATGGCCAGCTCGAAGTGGACATCATCCAGGCTCGCGGCCTGACAGCCAAGCCAGGCTCGAAGACACTGCCAGGTGTGTGTGGGAGTTGCCCACCCCTCTGGAAATCTGGGGGTGGGGGTCTGGACAGGAGACCCAGAGGGGGCCCTGGGTGCTGGAAGGGAGAAAATGGGCCTGATGAGGTAGGACCCTTCTGTCCCTACCTGCATGACTGGTGTGGTGGTTTAGGACTCCCTCTGGGAGCCTCTTGAGATTGTTGACCTGGTCAGCCTCCCCTCACCAGGGCATCTCTGCTGTATTATACCCTAGTGCCCAGCAGGAGTGGTCAGCAGGTGACAGGGCAGCCAGGAGGGCAGGGGAGTCAGGGGCTACCGGGTGGATGTAGGAGTAATGGGTGGGGGAGTGGAGTAGGTCCTCTCTAGGCCCCATGGGGGCTCTCCAGTCCCCTGCAGTGAGTGGGTGGGTAGCCTTTCCTTACTGCACCCTCCACCATCCCTATGCGGGTCCAGAGCTAGCCCTGACCATCCCCCTCCACCCGGCCTCTGTCCCCAGCGGCCTACATCAAGGCCTACCTGCTAGAGAATGGCATCTGCATTGCCAAGAAGAAGACCAAAGTGGCTCGGAAGTCGCTGGACCCACTGTATAACCAGGTGCTGCTGTTTCCCGAGAGCCCCCAGGGCAAAGTCCTGCAGGTGAGGGGCTTTCTACTCCTGTAAAGGGTAGTCTTGAAAACCCACAGGGGCAGTTCTATCCTGTCCTATAGGGTCGCTATGAGTCAGAATCAACTCAATGGCAGTGAGGTTGGGTTTTTTTGTTTTTTGGTATCACAACTCTTATTGGCAGCCCTCCCCCCTGTGCAGAGGCATGGGGTAAGATGAGGGGGGGGGGGGGCAGTGAAGGAGGGTCCTGGATCCACAGAGCCTGCCCAGGCTGATGCAAGAAAGGAAGGGAGCTGGCAGTGGACCAGCGACTAGGGATTCTTGGAGGCTCATGGGAGGAGCAGTCAGAGGGCCCTTGAGGCAGGGGCAACCCTCCAGGCCTGGACTCAGAAATGAGCAGCATGGAGGACGACGACAGGAGGGGGCCATCCTGGAGCAGAAAGTCTGTCATCCAGGCCAGCAGAAATGGGGAAAATGGGAAAACATAGACAAACGTGAGCAGTTTGGGGGGTACCCCCATTCTGGTCATTTATTTTAATTGTTAAGAAGTGCCCAAAAGAATGTACACCAACTAAACGCATGCACGTTGATTCTAGGCTTCAAGTTGGGCAACCCCTTCTCACCTGCTTTTCCAGGTGGTTCCTCCTCAATTAACCTAAACTCCTCCCCGGCCCTTCACTGTCCCGGCGACTCTTCTGAGCTGCTGTGGTCTTCGGCATCCCCTGCACCTGGTTTTTCAAAGCCCTCAGTGCTCATGGCAGGCAGTCTTCACTCATAAAGGGAAATGGTTGCTTGGTTTCCAGAACACATCCGGGTTTGTGCTGGGCTTAAGGTTAAAAGGTGAACGTGAGGTTCATTCAGCCTCCATGGCTCCAGAGAGTCTGGATTCCATGAGACTTTGAAAGTCAGCTGTGCATTTCCCCCTCTTGATCAGGATTATTCTGTGGAATCTTCGATCCAAATGTTC